GAATGCTGTGATTAGTCATTTTAATAATGATTTAATCGAAATTTGATCGATTTTATATCAACTCAATGTCTTTAATACCTATTAGGGTGTTTGACATGTTTATAATATTGAAAAAGAAGTAATTAGTAGGTAATTAACTATATTAATTATGTGATTAGTGTATCTAATGGTGATTTCATCGTAATTTGAACTATATTGGATCAAAATTAAGTATTTAATGCTTTTTTTATGTGTTTCACATATTTACGATGGTAAAATAAGTTTAATTAGGTTTTATTAAAGTTATTTAATGCTGCGATTAATCATTTTAATAATGATTTAATCAAAATTTGATCGATTTTAGATCAATTTAATGTCTTTAATACCTATTAGGGTGTTTGACATGTTTATAATATTGAAAGTGAAGTAATTAGTGGGTAATTAACTATGTTAATCAGGTGATTAGTATATTTAATGATGATTTTATCATAATTTGACCGATCAAAATTATGTATTTAATTTTCTTTTATGTATTTTACATATTTATGATGGTAAAATAGGATTAGTTACGTTTTATTAAAGTTATTTAATGCTGCAATTAGTCATTTTAATGATGATTTAATTGAAATTTGATCGATTTTAGGTCAATTCAATGTCTTTAATACATATTAATGTGTTTGACATATATTTATAGTGTTGAAAGAGAAGTAATTAGTGGATAATTAACCATGTTAATCATGTGATTAGTGTATCTAATGATGATTTTATCGTAATTTGACCTATATTGGATCAAAATTATGTATTTAATACTTCTTTTATGTATTTCACATATTTATGATGGTAAAATATGATAAGTTATGTTTTAATAAAATTATTTAATACTGCGATTAGTAGTTTTTGATCGATATTAGATCAACTCAATATGTTTATACTTTATAACTTATTTGATTTAAATTTGGTAGGATTATGGCACCAAAGGAATAACTATATGATGATACATGGGTTCATGCCCGAAAGATAGTTGGGAACCGTCATCATTGACAATGTATTTATTGTGACTACATTGGCAAGGGTAGAGGAATAACTCGGGTGAAGATGCATTTGGTCGGTGAGCATCCTAATATTGCAAAATGCAAGAAGGTTCCGACGGAGATCCGTAAATTATTTCAAAGCAAGCTACAACAAGCAAAGAAAAATACATTAAAAAAAAAGGCAAGAGTTGAGGAAGAATATTATAGGGCTATGCAGGAACCAGTTTATAATCAGTACGAGGGTTACGGCGATGAAGTTGACCCGAATCTCACAACTAGGATTCGTGCATCATTAGAGCATCGGTATATGGTCGATGAAGCAATGAGGCATCGACGGCCTGACTCACAATTGGAGCATGGCAATGGTAGTGCAATCCAAAGGTCGACCAGCATGAGGTAGCCAATTGCTCCTCAGTTAGGCCGAACTAGTAGCATGAGGTATGGTGGGCTCTGTGGTTTTTGGTTTTATGAGAGGTCTTGGTAGGAGGTCTGTACTAGATATTGTTGATATTGATCCGCAAGCCTATCCCCCACAAACGGCAAAACAGACACGGATTGACAATGCATACACAAAAGAAAATAAGCGAGATATTGGGAAGGCAATTTCAAAATGGTTCAACTTCCACAAGATTCCAATTAACACAACTCAAGGTCCATATTATCATAGCATGGTCTCTTCTATTCAAAAGTTTGGCATGGGGATCCAACCTCCAACACCGAGGGAGATTTACGGCGTGAACTTAGATGAGAAGGTGGCAGAACTGAAGGATTGGATCAAATCCTTCAAGAGGCAATGAGACGAATATAGGGTAACACTGATGTGTGACAATTAGACAGGACCAACAAGAATGAGTATCATCAACTTTCTTGTCTATTGCAATAGAAGAATGGTGCATCATAAATTAGTTAATGCTTATGAAAAGATCCAAAATGCAAACTACATTGAGAGCTTGATAAACACTATAGTAGAGAAGATCGGACCACAGTATGTTGTCCAAATAATAACCGATAATGGAGTGAATTTCAAGAAAGCCGATTTACAATTGATGGAAAAAAGAAAAACATTATTTTGGACTCCATATGTAGCTCATTGCATAGATCTAATGTTGAAGGATATTTGTGAGCTGGACGCGATCAAGAATTGTGCAGCTCGAGCACAATCAATTACAAAGTTTATATATAATCATCATTGGGTCCACGCTTTAATGCAAAAGTATATAAACGGTGAGATACTCTGACCTGGAGTCACTTGGTTTACTACCAATTTTATTGCATTAAAGTCATTACAACAAAAAAGACATGGCTTGAAGGCAAAAACAAGAATCGTCTGATTTCAGATATTTGAGATTGAGCGATGAAAAGAAGATAAAAAAATCCATTCTTTCCTCCAGATTTTGGGAGACTGCGACAAAAATCATAAAAGGTGTGGAACCACTTTATATTGTTCCCCACAAGGTCAATATGGACAAGCGTCCACAAATGTCATATCTTAAATATATACTGATTTCAACAAGAGAAGACGTAGGGAAAGTATTCAAAAATGATTTTAAGGCCGACCAAAACGTACGAATTATTGATCGTCAGACCGAAGTTCATATGGATCAAGATATTCATAATGCAGGTAATTCATATTCAGATTAATTTAATTTATTATTTTTTATATAATAAAAAATCATACTAACAAAATTATGTTTTGCAAAATATTATCTAAACCCAGCAATTCAATATCAATATGCTCTTAGGACGCAAAATGATTTACTAACGACACTACGAAATGTTATATATCGACTCTTGCCAAACATTACTAATGTAGCCGATGCTCTTATAGAGGGTCGATTATTTCGAGAAACAGTTGGTTCATTCTCCGACGTTGTAGCTGTATCGTGTCGTTACACTATGGATCCTGGTGAGGAAAAGTTACACATATTGATTATCAATTATATTTGATGTTAATTATTTGTTATGCTAATAAAATCTTATTTATATCTTTTTGCAGTCGAGTGATGGCTACAATTTGGAGGGGATGCACTATATTTAAGGAAGGTTGTCGTTCGTGTACTTTCACATATGACAATATCAAGTGGTTGCGAACGTAATTGGTAAACGTTTGCATTGATTCACACGAAGGTCCACAACAAACTCTATTATAGACGGTTAGAGAAACTGGTATATGTCCATTATAACATGCGGCTAAGGTTACGATGTGCTGAGTTGGATAAGGAGCTAGAGGAACTAGATATTGATCCCATCGACCTCCAATTCTAGAACGAAGATTCAGAGCCGATGTTAGATTTGTTGAAGCGACAGAGAACCAAGAGGATCCTCTACTTGATGAGGCAAGAGATCCTCAGCGTCTTTTGCATTTTATCACCGAGGCATAGAAAAAGTGGAAGTACAACCCCAGCAGGTGGAAAATCCCCCTCAATCACAACGTGGTAGGAGTCAAACAACATCAAGTCAAACTGCTCGAGGAACTATATACACCCAACGATTACAATTTGTCCGCCCAGCGTGCAAAGGCAAAGGGGAAGGCAGTAGTATCAGTCGCATCGTTAGAAA